ATATGCCCAGTGACCATAGCTCCACCTGTGGGCCGACATAGTTCAAATCTACCATCACGCAACATCTTTCCCCTTATACAAATGAGATTCTTACAACTGTCAAATTATACATGTGTGTCAATGCTGACATCGAATTATCGGATAAACGTGTCTGCCTCTAAGTGAATCTATCACTCCTAAGTCCTAACCAATAACGTAATACTGGGGGACCGTTACGCTGAACAATGATAACGATTACAAATTGAGCCGCTTCACTTTCTTCACGCTTCTTCCTGATCTCGTACGGTATGCGGCGTCTCCTTTCTCCGCGGTTGTCGAATCTGCAGCACCTGACTCTGCCCGCTCCGTAGCTTCCATCGTTGGATTCTCCAGGTGGATCTGCTTGGAGCATGCTTCCACTGGGCTGCCAACACTGGTTGCCGGACCAGGATGCTGCTGGTCCGGTACTTGCCCGGGTGGATGCCGTGGTGCTCGTTGATCGCCATCTGCCCGAGAGACACGGAGAAACTGCCTGTTCCTCTTATAGCGTTGTCCGCCTGGTGCTCTCACCTCATACCTTCGACTGTTAAGCTGCTGCGTGACAGTCGCACCTTTTTATTCACGGTGACCTCTCTGAATAGGTTGCATCCTTACATGTTCGCCTACTCTGAGGGGTTTCAAGTCCCTTCTCCCTCGATTGAGACGATCTGCCACTTCCCATCTCCTGTCTTCCATCCTGTACCTCTCAGCTTTCCCGGGGTCATGACGCATCGGTTCTAGCTTGCTGGTAGTTGTCGAAATGAGCGTTTTCGTTTGTCTACCAAACAGCCTCTGTACCGGACTGGTCAAAATTCCCTCTGTCGGAGTATTTCTCAAGTTCAACAGCCCTATGAAGGGATCCTCTTTAGACGTCTTACACTTTTTCATCATTCTCTTGGCTATTTTTACTGCAGCCTCCGCAGCCCCATTAGCCTTGCTATTTCCTGGACTCGTGATTTCGTGCGTGAATCCCCACGTCTTACTGAAATGCTTAAACATGTCTGAGGTGTACTGCGGTCCTCCGTCGCTTATGACAATATCGGGAATTCCGTGCCTTGCAAAGTGGTGCTTCATCTTTCCAATTACAGTCTCAGCCACCGTGTCTGACAAGTAGTCTAGCTCGAAGAAGTTGCTATAATAGTCAACAGTGACTAGATATGCTCTGTTCTCGAATGTTAGTAGGTCCGTCCCTACCTTTTCCCATGCTCGACCTGGTACATCATGCATGTGTAGAGTCTCCGGGGCCTGCTTATCGCTGTGCGTCGCACAACTGCTACAACCCTCGACAAACTGCCGAATTTCAGCTGACATCCCAGGCCAAAACACAAGTTCACGAGCTCTACGTAGGCATGAATTTATTCCCAAGTGTCCGGTATGTAGCTTCCGCTTAATTTCAGGTCGCATACCCATCGGTATCACCACTCTCTCCCCTCTTAGTACGACGCCGTCCTGTACCGTCAGCTCATCTCTATAGCTGTAGTAAGGTGTTACAGCACTAGGCAGGCGTGACCTATCCTCTGGCCACCCCTCCAATATCGTGATCTTTAATGCCGAGAGTGCGACATCTCTCTCAGTTGCAGCACGTAACTCCTCTAGTCGTTCCCTTCTTATGGGTAGCAAAGAAACGTTGCTCACCGACTCTGCTCCCGTGATCGTCACGTCAGGGAGCGGAGCACGTGATAGAGCATCAGCCACAGGAATAGACTTTCCTGGTCTATAGATAAGCTCAAAATCATACTTCTGTGTCCTGATGATTAGTGATTGCAATCTCTTTGGTGCCTTAGAAAGTGGCTTGGACAGGATAGCCACCAGAGGTTTGTGGTCCGTTACCACTCTGACCCGTCTACCATACGTGTAATGATGAAACTTCTCTAACCCGAATGTCACTGCCAGCATTTCTTTTTCTATCTGCGCATATCGGCCCTCAGTATCCGTCAGCGACCTGCTTGCATAAGCCACTGCGCGCCCTTGCTGCATGAGCACTGCGCCTAAACCATACTATCACATGCATCATTTTCCAGCACTAGTTCCTTCTCTGGGTTATAGAATGCCAAGACTGGAGCACTGGTGACCATCTGTTTGACGTCCATAAACGCCTTATTCTGCGTATCAGTCCACGTCCACTGCGTATCTTTCTTGGTGAGATTTCGTAGAATATAAACGCCACATAGAGAATGGTTTTATGGGCAGAAAATTGCACCCTGTATATGTATATTAGATCTATTATTTAGACAAATTTTTTTACCCTAACCCTAACTAAACTATTTTTTTTAACAAGCAAATTCATTGATTAAATTCTGTGTGAAATAAATTTAAATATCTAAATTAGATCATGCTTACTTTCTTACAAATGAGAAATGACTCTATATTGTACTGAAGTTTAGTTAGTTACTCTATCTATAGTGGTTTATTTCCTACTATGGCGGTTTTGTGGTTTATAGTGGCTTAGTCGTACCAAACTGCATCATTTTTTGAGAAAAAAAATTATCCCCCAGTTTCCACCGTGTTGGCTGACCAATCACCACTGCGATGGCTCAATGATTGAGTGCTCGCCTCGTATGTGGAAGGTCGGGGGTCAACTCCCGGCCGGGTCATACCAAAGACTTGAGAAATGGTACACACGGCTTCTCTGCTTAGCATTCAGCAAATAGAGATAGAGTGTGGCAAGTTAACTTGCAGTGCTACAGTGGACTAACCCCCTACTGTAGCATTTACTGTGAAAGCAGCTGCAGGGCCTCAGAGTTACAGAAACGGAGATAGGCACCGCCCTATGCGCCTGTAACTATACGCTATGCGTATGAAGGCTGGCGCGGGAAGGATTTAACTTTTTCCACCGTGTTACCTCATGTACATTTTTTCCAGAGGAAACACTGTCATAGCATATCTATCTTTTCTCTGCAATGATTAGGAGTAGTTGTACAACGTACCTCCTCCATCATTCACAGACACGTCGTATCCAGGAAGCGTAGGTAGCAGAGATGGATCTATCGGTGGTGCTGTTGGCGCGGGTCTACTCGAATCTTCATCCACACAGTCGGCTGGATTGTTGGCTCCTTGGGCAGGCGGCCCTCCTGACCCAGGTTGCCATGGCGCTGTGGATAATCAACAACCCGTCAATAACTCACACATGTTGACAAACAATGCAGTATATATTCTGTTTCTAAATCAATAGTTTTATTGATGGGACGGCAATGGTATTCAAGCATTGGATAAGCTAGGATGGGCAATACCTAATTCGATTACATTGCATTATATCTTACGATACAATTACATTGCATTATATCTTACGATACAATTACATCGTCATCATTCACACATAAACATTACCTGGAGCAGTAGGTGGTGGAATTCCTTGACCCTGCATAACAGGAGCACAGAATCAGTATTGGTTACAACAGCACAAAACACCACTATACAGGCAAGATTCAGAATAACTGGAAAAATTTCCCAGATAACCTAAACATAGAAGACTTGGAAAATGGCAGTTACTTAAAAAGAGGATGCATGATCAGCAGTGATAAAAACTTGCCCAAAAAAGTAGTAGCCAGCTGGGCCCAAAAAGTAATTCTAGAAGTTTTAGGTATAGATTGAAGTACAGTGTTTATTTCAGTGGTCAAAAAATGTGCTGGGAACGGTAAGCGAATTGTACTGATGTAATCACAGCACGTAAACCATAGTGATTCCACCGATTATGGAATGTTTACCTTTGCAAACAAATCCTCACATTCTGTGCGACCTTCTGATAAAATTCCAGGCCCAAAATTATTTTAACTTGCCTTGAGCAACTGGGCAAGTGTTAATTTTCATCACTGCCCATAATAAACATTTCCACTCTATTCCTATTATTATCTCATCAAAGAATTTCAAATTAATTCCCCCAGCAAGAAAGCTCTTACTTGTGGATAGGCTTGTCCAGGTTGGGCATAACCCTGTCCAGGTTGAGGATAACCTTATCTGTGCATCAGTTGATGATACACAGAAATCTGTGCATCACTTCGTGATACCTAAGGTGCCTAAAGTGGATTTGCGCCCTTGAGAAGATTGATTACTCTGGCTACTATTTGAACTCACAGTTTTGAAGTGAAATGCTATAACCACTGCTGCAACACTGATGGTCCGTGGCTCTCCTGCTCTAATTACTACACAGATAGTACACATATATTCATGATGAAGCTAATGGTGTTACAACTTACATCTTACAGCTATGCTTGCTTTGTATAGATCCTCAAATTTGTATCTAAAGCTTGATTTTTCTAAACAGGAAAGGATGGTACAAGAGCATTTGTAACAGGACAGTTTGATGCCGATGGTCTGATTCCAGAAGTAGATGGTCTTTCCCACCAAGACTATTTAGGACTTGAAGAATGGGAGAAATTCTACAAGAAAGATTATAAATATGTTGGTATGTTTATCTGTGCATTCAAGATAACAGTATATTATATGATAACTAATCAATTTTCTAACCAACCATCTGACCTGTTATAACATGTTTTGTTGACAGGTAAGGTGCGGGGTTGGTTTTATGATGAACTAGGAAAACCCACTGAAAAGATTCATGCTTACCGCAAGGCCCTAAAGGTACACACCTTAGATTACAACTCGATTGATAGATAAGATCAGGAGTGAATAATAATAGATATATTATTATTCACTCCTGATAAGATAAAGAGTGCATATCTATAGATATTGAAATAAATTCATTGGATATTTAGTTGATAACTGTAAACTGGTTCATATTGAAATATATTCTATTTTTGACGTACCTTCACAACAGTTTCGATCACTGTCAGCGATCTTTATCAAGTGACCTACGTCATCGTAGGTGGCAGTCGATGACGTAGTATCCGCGTGATGTCGACTGCCACCTATGATGACCTAGGTCACTTGATAAAGATCGCTGACAGTGATCGAAACTGTTGTGAAGGTATGTTAAAAATAGGATATATTTCAATATGAACCAGTTTACACATATCTTTAGATGTATATAATGGAGTGAGTGAGAGAGAGAGAGAGAGGCGCGAATTCGTTATAAAATGAAGGGAGGAATGGATAAGGAAAGAAAACTGTTAAATAGTTCAACCAGTTGGTTATATCTTATTTAAACTAGATCTTAACACAGACTGTGTAATTGCTGATGAACAGACTGAATAATAAGTCACATTGCGTGTGTTACCTAATTTATCATTAGAGTAATGGGCCTAATAAATTTAATATTTGATCATCAGAGTGCACATCAGTGGAAGCAGGCACAAGCAGATGAAAAGAAAATATATCCACCGTGCAATTCTGAATGGTCACAGGACAAAGGCGGTCGCGTCTGGTGTTCAACAAAGAGGTATCTGCCGTTCACCAAGCTTGTATTAAGAAATGTCACTTTGCATTGATATTGGCACTTTAATGAATGCAGTGATACCACTAACATTGCTACATTAACTACGACATAGCATTGATTTTGTGATTGCAAATATTTTCTAGTGGTGGTATTGAAAGAGACTGGGCGGGTGTGCCGCGGAAACTGTTTAAGCCAGCCAGTGGTCAGTATCGCTGCGCCTGTATTCGCACGACCGGACCAGCGTCTGACCGACCAGAGGCTGCAGACCATGACGATCGCGGAGATCTAGACAACCCCAACCTCAAGGAGTATGATAACTGCGACTCCGTAGTGGAAAGCTGCCCATTGCCCAACGAATAATGTGCATATAGCATCATCAGGTGAACAGGGTTTGGCATTGGTTAGCTATGCAGGTGGCCGGTTGCCTTCAAACACAATTCCATGTAGTGCTGGAACACCCACCCTTTTCTGTTTCATTAGCAATAACATTTCTAACCTGCAACGTTTCTTGACTGTGATATGGTTGCATATACACATTCCTGTCTGTTAGAAAGAATAGTGTGTGTGCAAGTGCAAGATTGCACAGGCACTGAGCTTGCTGTTGAAATCATGAAAATACTTGATCATATCATGAAAAATATGATAGTTGCATACAGCTATTAAGTGCAAATATTGCTCAAAGCTCTCGTACCGGTGACGAAGAGTGTGTGACATGATTTAGCTGTTATCAAACATGTACGGCTAGTAGGAAGAGTATTAAATTAGGATGGTGATTTTGCTACAACGTTTTCCGTGTACCCAATCTTCACATGGGGTATCTAAGAATATATTGTTATATTTACTGTCTTCTCTATACGTTGTAAATGCTAGGCTTAGTGAAGGTTTCACTAGCGTAAAACATTTGCTTATTAGCTGGGGAATATTGAAGCAATATTGAAGTTCTGTGGGACTAAATGAGTACACACCCTATTAACACCTATAATTGGTCATCGGTGTAACAAGAAAACATGACTATTAGAGTCAGATTTCCTGTACATGTGCGGCTGGATCGTTAGTGGTAAAATCTTTTAATGTTGCACTAAGATGGTTTAAGTCAGTTATAAAATAATGTCCTATTGCCCTATTGTTGATCTCTCTCTCGCTCTCCCTATATACATACATATATATATATATATACACAGATATATATATATATATTCTGTACATATCGGTCTTCTATATATTGTTGTCAAACAATTTCTTACCCCTGACATACGTCCACGGCACATGAATCAGAACGACACATGTACACTAGAAACACGCCACTGTTTGGCCTTGAATAACAGTCACCTACCCGGATAACGATATCGTAACAGCGCCACCTGTTGCAGAGTTCAGGTTTTTTCTCTCTAAGCTTTCCATCTATTCATCTATCTATAAAATAAATAATAACTTCTGTCGCAATTGACTATT